GAAGCAGCAAAAAGGCTGTTAGCATATAGGTAACGTGGTGTTAAATAATTGCTATGTTGACGATTTTTTATGTGGTGCCGATACGTTAGAAAAGGCGCTACAGATTCACAAAGAGTGGATCAACTTGGTTGCTAGTATGAAAATGGAGCTGCACAAAATGGTGCGCTAATCATCCTACTCTGGTATAGATAATATTCCGCAAAATAAACGCCAAATTAGGGTTGCTATCTCAAAGCTCTGCCAACTAGGACAGGAAGCGTGAAAACCCCAGATTTAGGGATTATAAACCCGGACATATCAACCGAATTTGATAAAAAAAATTGTCTAAAGAAATAAAACAAACAATTTATTTTTCTGAATAAAACAAAGCGCACTTTATCACGAAACAAAATCTTTTTTAACTGTTAGAAATCAGCAACGGCTTACCTACATTTTTAAATTCTTTAAATGAAGCAATAATACACTTTTTTAACAAAATGAAATACAGAAGCTATTCACAATAATTTTTAAATTTATTTATTTTATTTTGCCTTTATTTTTGAGTGGGCGGGGTTTTAGCCAAGGCTGCTCTACCAACCCAACCCACTATACATTTACAACAATCCATGCCCGAACCTGGATTCGAACCAAGGACCCTTAGCAGCACAGTCCAGCTTTAACTGAACTGCGCCACACGAATGAAACAAAAATTTGGTCTTTTAATAAAATAAAATGTTTAATGAACTATTTACTTTTCAGGTCTTCGGTATTTATCCGTCTTTCCAATAACCTTTGGAATATCTTCCTTTCTTAAAAGAAATTTATAAAAATCTAGGTACACAATTATAGTCTTTGAAATTGTACTTTATTTTTATCACTAACGAGACTGTTTCAATATTCAATAAATTCCTTTCTTTGGTCCACTGTTATGCCACTAGTGAAAATATTCTTTCAACGTTGGCATTATGAGCAAGAATGCAAAAAAGGTACTAGGCAATTTTCAAAAACTCCGAGTATAAATGAGCATTCGGTGTTTTAAAAAATTGTAACCAAAGCTGACTTGAGCTTAAAAGTTGATCTTGTTGGCTTAAATTTTGACAGAAAGATTTTTAATTTACCCACTCATAGATGTGTCAGTAGCAGCCTCACTAATCGAATCGAACGTGGTGTTGTTAAACGCACCCTCGATATCTAAAAACGCTCCCAGAGCTATTCCCCCGGAAGACATTCACAGACTTGACAGACAGACACACTTTTATTTTTAGCGCATTTCCACAAAAATAAAAAAAAAATGCGCTATTGTGGCCACTTTGTCCGTCCGTCCGTCCGTCCGTCCGCTAACTTTGCGACGCTACTAGTTTTTTTATCTTAAGAGCTATTGTTCTACTTTTTTCGCTATTTGGTTCGTTATGGTGTCGAGTCTTGTACCAAGGAAGGAATTTTTCTGTACCGCTTACAAAAAAAGTTATTGTAAAAAAAACAAAAAACCGTTTTTTACATGTTCCATAATTTTACACATTTGCCGTTTATTAACGATCCTAGAGATCGTTTATAATTTTGCATTGCTATCTGTCGCCTGCCGGTTGGTCTCTCCGTCTGTTCCTTTGTCTGTCTGTCCATCTATCTGTCCGTGTGAACGATTAGAAATGTTCGATCGCTTTTACATCTCCGTTAGTTATGAACTGAATTGCATGAAATTCAATATGGGCATAGATTTAGCCATATAATACGCAATGCCAAAAGTTGAATCGAATCGATTCAAAATTCACAGTGCCCTTTTCGCATCTCGACCATTTTTAAACCGAATTGCAAACTTTTTTACTTATAAAAGTATTTGAATGAAATTTGATACATAGGCACTTGGAATAAAGGGAAATCAAACGCCAATTTCAAAATTTGGTTTTGCGCATGCGCAGTGCCAACTTTTTTATTTATGGAAGAATTTAAACGAAATTTATCCATAGGCACTTGGGATAAAGGAAAATCAAACGCCAATTTCAAAATTTGGTTTTGCGCATGCGCAGTGCCAACTTTTTTATTTATGGAAGAATTTTAATGAAATGTGATACATAGGCACTTGGAATAAAGGAAAATCTAGCGCCAGTTTCAAAATTTTATTTTGCGCATGCGCCGTGCCAACTTTTTTATCTATGGAACTATTTAAGTGAAATTTGATACTTAGGCGTTTGGAACAAAGGAAAATCTTAGTTTATTAGTTAGTTATAGTAAATTAGTTTTAAAATTTAGGTTTGCGCATGCGCAGTTCCAACTTTCTTATTTAGAAAAGCATTGAAATGAAATTTTTCTCATAAACTGAAATTGAAGTAGCACGTCAACAATGGATTGCCCATGTGCAACGCTATCTTTCATATTTGTGGCCGGATTTTTACGATTTTAACAGAAGTTGCATCTTACAAATGGGAAATGAATGCAAGTGGAAATGGGCTTTATGTAAATCGTTTACGATTACTTTTTAACTTGTTAATTTATGTAAATGACATCTACATGTCAGACCGGGATAGTATCTTCACACTGTATGCCGATGATACAACCATCACAGTTACATCCACTGATCCTACTAAAAGTGAGGAACAAATTAATAATGCACTAATTTTCTAGGGGTGCAGATCGATGCCAGGCTTTCCTGGAGACAGCATGAAAATAAAGTTTGTACAAAATTGGCATCTGTTGCGTATATCCAAAACATTTGTCATATTCAGTTTCTGTGAAGATCTTAAAATGCGTTTATTATAGCTTTTCACATTCTATCATTAGTTACGCCATCATTGCCTGGGGTCATTCTACAGCAATGATGAATTTGATGTAGGATTGTTAACGTGTTGGCCTTGCCTTTTACACCAATGTAGATCTCAGAAATTGGATCGATTGAACGTAAAATTGCGAACTTCTTGTACCTTTTGATCTACTGACTGAATATCAATCCGACTCTGAAGGACCATGTAATTTTTCTGTGGTGGTTTCGTGCTTCTCAATCATAGACCAAAATTTCGCAAAACTGCATGTAAAAATACTGGTGCTTTATTCAACATCATAACAACGAATAATCATTTCCCCATACATAGAATTAACAAAAATGCGATTGCGCATAAACAAACTCAACTATTCGTAACATTTACCATGCAAAGGCGCTGTGTGCGGAATATTATAAATGCTGGCTACAGGGAGGACTGTCGCAATATCTTTAAATCGTTGCAAATTCTAACAGCTCCATCACAATACATTTTTGACTCAGTTTTGTTCGTAAATATAAAGTATAATTATATAACGCATAAAAATGTTCATTCTTACAATACTCGGAACAAAAATCAAATATATAATGATAGATTACGATTAAAAACGTCGCAAGCGGCACATAATTATTGGGGCCCTGTATTGTATAACCGTTTACCTTCTTGTTTCCAATCTCTAAATGAACAACTTTTTTCCAAGAAACTTAAAACTTTTTTACGCGAAAATCCAATATATAACATCCAAGAGTTTTTAGATAACGACCTCAACACTTTAACGCTTTAAGTTATTTTTTGTTGTTTGTATTTTTTGATTATTTGTTTTCTAAATGAATTTTCATGTTATTTATGTAATATTGTTCTATATGTTTCATGTATTTTATGTTTATGTGTTATACGATTTTCGGACGAGTGTAAGCATTTCTTCAATGTATTAACACAATAAATTACTTACTTACATTCCCTTTTCCAGCCTACACACTAGGCTGTGTAGAGCCTTCTCCGTGGACATACCAGCCCTGTAAGCATGTTGGAACGGATGTAGTTGTCTACTAACCAGTACGCCATTCCTTATGTATGCATCCACCTGCCACCAGCTTCTCCACCGTTTTTAGAAGAAACGATGATAGGCTGATGGGTCTATAGTCCTTCGCCATGTCATATTTAGCACGACCCGGCTTAGGTAGGTACACAACTCTTACCTTCCTCCACTGAATAGCTATTACAACTGAAAATCTGTATAAATAACTCAACACTAAAAGTAAACAAATACTGGTCGTGGCTTGTGACGTCATCCAAAGCCCGCTGAAAATATGGCAACATTCAGACCTATCGAATAAAGTCAACGATTTAAATATTATTAACGAGCTTCTAGCGAGTTTATAATTTTTCGGTGTCTGTCCGTCCGTTAGCACGATAACTCATAAACGAATGGACCGATTACGATGAAATTTGCAGGTGGATTCTTTATCAAATTTGTAGACCGGAATTCGTGAATTGGCAATGTAGCCCAAAAAATAAGGAAGGCCCTTTTGACATCTCCGTGCGCTATGAACCGAATTGCATGAAATTCAATATGCGTATAGCTTTAGCCATATAAAACGCAATTCCAAAAATTGAGCCTAATCGATCAACATTCACAGTGCCCTTTTCGCATCACGACCATTTACAAACCGAATTGCAAACTTTCTTATTTATGAAGGTATTTAATGAAATTTGATACATATGCACTTTGAATAAAAGCAAATTTAACGCCACTTTCAAAATTTAGTTTTGCTCATGCGCAGTACCGACTTTCTTATTTATGAAGGCATTCAAATGGAATTTGATACATAGCCACTTGGAATAAGAGCAAATGTAGCGCCATTTTCCAAATTTGGTTTTGTGCAGGATGTGCAGTACCCACTTTCTTATTTATGCCAGCAATTAAATGAAATTTCATACATATACACTTTAAATAAAAGCAAAACTAACATCAGGTTTAAAATTTGGCTTTGCACATAGCCATACCCAGGAGCTCGTTATATTTGTTTAGTTTATTTTACAAGTTAAATTGAATTGTTCTAACAGTGTTTACACTTTTTACCGTTAGAACGATGTAAAAAAAGCGATTAAAAGATTTTAAAAAAATACATGCATATTCCGTATTGCTTTGGAATTGTTTTTAAACGCGAAACTAATGATATATCTTAAGTGCTATCAGTAGAATGAGTGATATGATAAGCATACCCTCCACTATTTTGCACTAAGTAGGTATATCTAACCGTGAATTATGGTGGAAAGTCAGAAAGCTGTTCAACATGAAAAGTTTCATTTGTACTCTATTGGTATTGGCGTTAGTTGGCCTAGTGGCTGGCCTAAACTGCAGAAACGACGATTATTCATTTATTACATGCAGTGACCGTTACTGTGACTGGTGGTGGGGTTCGTGCCCTGAAGGATATCAGATGTGGTACGCTCCTTTTGTATTTCTCTATATAAAAGATTACCAGTAGCTAATATTACCTATTTTAAGAAAGTAGTAATGCCTCTTTATTTCGCGATTTAGGGAATTGAAGCGTTATTCTCATCTCTTCATTGGACTATTAAGATTAGGTACCTACGTAGTGATTATTTCTAGCATAAATTTTAACTGTCTCCCCCTGCACTTCTGCAATATTTGCAATAGAGATGTTTTCATTTCATTTTCAAACTAATTAATTTATATTTATGTTATATTTCAGCGACTTTGATATATGGAGCTGGTGCACAATTTTCTACCATACCTGCTGCAAACCGTAAATCTGTAAATCTAGGATCTGTGTTGCCTCTACACTAATTATTTCAATTATTTTGTTACAATACCCAAATAACACAGATAAAAGGATATAAAACTTGTATAAAAGTATATTATGAATAAGTTTAGCATTTATATCTGTTTAATAAGTTCAAAAAATGTATTATATTCCTGAAAATTTGTTATTAAAATATACAGGAAAGTTTTTGTATTTAATATGTGTTTAATAATCGTACCGCGATAAGAGTTGCATATTTTTCTATTTCTATAATAGCAGTTGGCGTTGGCAGTATGCAAATAGAGGAATTTGAAGAGAGAAGCAGGCAAGGACGTTTAACGTCCTTGGAAGCAGGTTACGTTGCCCTGATTTAAGCATTTCTGTTTCACTGTTTTCGCTATTTGGATATTTTGACACGTCGACGAGGTAATTGCTTTGCGACACCTTATTATTGTCGCATTTTAATTACGGAGATGTCCTATATGGTAGTTGCATTACTGTTGAGGATTCGAGAAGAATTCAGATGGTACAAAACGCATGTACGAGGCTAACCTATGGGATGCGTGGCAGAAGAGGCGTTAGTCGTATGCTTGTGGAAACTTGTACACTGTCCATGATTAATAAAAGGGTATTACATTGTGTAGTCTTCTTCTACAGCATTATCTGTTCCGGTACACCACGCTACTTAGCCGAGAAGATAAGGGTTCGGTCTGATGCTCACTCTCTAAACATGAGGAATATCCATCTTATATTAATTCCGAAACACAAGCTAGAGTTGTATAAACGCAGCTTCTCGTACATGGCAGCAAGATTAATTAATACGTACATTATCGGCAACAAAATACGGTTTGGTACTACCCCACTCTCCGTGAACAAGAAGCTAAGGGAGACACTTCTGCGTAACCAATCGAAGAATTAGCAATTATGAACGATTTTGGGGGTGATGTGTTGTTCATTCCCAGTAGTAGGTACTAGCTATAGGTAGTAAGTGGTGTGCGAATATGTTTGTTTTTTTTTCTTTTGTTTTTTTTATCTTTTTTAATAAGACATAGCAGATGGTCTGTAACATTCAGTAGTATATGTGTCTTACTTTTGGTTGGCTAGTGTGTTTGTTGTGTATATATATTACACCTAGTTCATGTATATTTTATATTTTGTTTGTTTTTTTTCTACTGTGAGAGGATGTAGGAAGAACGCCGATGATTAGATTCTTAGGCGATACAGTCTTTTTGGCTTTTGGGCATATTAATTTTGTAATGGATTTATTAATTTTGTTAGTTTGTGAACTCCATTTGCCAATAAATGCATATTATTATTATTATACCTACTTATCTCTTGGGAAATCTGCTTTCTTTTTGGGTGTGCTTTTGTTGTCAATAAACCGATGCAACGGAATATCAAAGAATCCTCAGTATGTATCATCATCACCTTTTAACGGCCTTTTATTTTAACCTTGCAAAATACATATAAGTACACCTAGTTACTAAAATGCATCAAATTTATGTCTTAGGCCTTGAGATAATGCTCTTGGTCTTTTTCCCTACGACCTTGGTGCATGGACGCAGCGTAACAGCTGCTCGTGGTGTACGCATCGATGTTTATAATTTGGATCCCAGCGTCACCCCAGATCAAATAATAAAGTACTTGGTAGATAATAAATTTGATGAGGTAAAATGTGAAAAATTAAATTCAAAACGTCCTGATGATTATAGTTCCTTTAGAGTGTCAGTATTAAGCCATCAATTTGAGGCTCTAAAAATCCCAGAATTGTGGCCAAGGGGTACACGTATGATAATTTTTTATTGCGTCTTATCAACAAACATGCTCTAACTTAAATACTACGTACATGAACTCACTTAATAATCTTGCGACTCTCTTAATATTAATGAACATTCAAAGTTTAAATAATAAAGTTAGTGATCTTGAAATAATAACCAACCAATATAAGCCTTTATTAGTGTGTCTCACAGAAACATGGTTAGCAGAAAGTGAACTGGAAATGTGTAAACTCTTAAATTATAATATAATTAGTGCTTTTAGTAGACAAAATTCGGGGGCCATTTGGTCACGATCTGATGTTCAAGCATCATTTATTGACGTTTCAACATACTGTTCTGAAAATGTATTAGAAATATGTGCGTGTAAAGGCTATTTTGGACACTTAAAATTTACTGTTCTAAATATTTATAGACCTCCTTCGGGTGATTACAACACGTTTTTATGCAATTTAAATGCCGCAATAGATCAACTATATGAGCCTTGGGTTCCAATCCTTCTGGTAGGCGACTTCAACGTAAATTTTGGGATAATCGGCGAAAAGTACAGGTCACTCAATGACCTATTAAGGTATCGTTTAATTTACACGAAATAGTACCTACACACATACCTACACCCGAGTAAATAAGCACTCCCGTACGATATTGGATAACGTATGTACTAATGCATCCATTACATTAGAAAGTAATGTTCAGGACACTTAGCTCTCTGATCACCGACTTATAAGAATTTCATGTAACTTACAACAGTCTTCGCCCTCAAGAGTCAACATCATCTCAAAAAGATTCTTTTCGAAAAGTAACATGGAACGTTTCTCCACGGATGACATAAATGAAAAGTTCTCAATTTTCCTTTCCACATTTCAATTTTACGTCAATATATGTTTTCCTCAAAAAAATTATCGACATAACTCCGAAACTAAACCCTGGTGCACAGAAGCAACTCGTGGCTCTAGTACTAAGCTCAATGACATGTATGTCTTACAAAGAAAATACCCCGAACTAAGGGATAAATACATATCTATGAAGAAAGCACACCAAAACTTGATAAACAATGCTAAAAGAAATCATTACAGCTCAATCATACAGAACGCGCAAAACAAGAGCAAAGAAACCTGGAAAGTTTTGAACTCGATTAGTAACAAAAACAACCAAATTCCTAAAAACCTGGAACTAAAGGATGACCAAGGATCTGTGGTTACATCACCTGCAAAGATTGCTAATTTGTTCAATAAACACTTTCATAACATACCGTTGAAGCTTCGGGAATCTATTCCACACGCAGATTTACCTACAAACCATCTTCAAATAAATCCTAATTCCATCTATTTACTGCCATTTACGGAAGAAGAGGTTCTAAACCTATTCAAGAAGCTGAATAGCAATAGCGCACCTGGACTTGATGATATATCCCCTAACTTATTAAAACATGTGAAACTCCTAATAATCACCGAACTTACATATTTAATTAACTGTTCTTTACGCACTGGAACATTTCCAAATTGCTTCAAGGCGGCAGTGGTGACTCCTATTTTCAAAAAAAAGGGAATGCTCTCAACACGGCGAATTACCGACCGATTACACTGACGTCCTGCGTAGGAAAAGTGTTAGAATATGCGATGAAAGAGAGGATAACTTCATTTCTTTCAAAGTATGATATAATATCAAAGTTTGCAGGCTGACTTATAGGACTCATGCCACTATGCCTTTGACTCCGATGGAGCTCTTTGAAAGTAACGCCTCAATGTGCACACTACCTTTTTCAGCCTGTCCAGTCTTTCACACCACCAGGATGTTACAGTCCTCCGTTTGAGACATACGCGCCGCCGTCGCACTCAAGCATTCAGTGACAGGTACTCGTTTCGCGCGGGTCAAACTGGAACATCACCTTCAAGGATCTATCCGCCAGACCAAGGAATACTTCCTCGAAAGCAGAACCGAAGTTCTGGGAGAGGGTGGTCTCCTTGACCTGCCCCGGAGAAAGATCAGAGGATCTTATAACGTAGGGGGATTTAGGATTTAGGCGCTATAGACATTCCCGAAAGAATTTTCACACGCTCCGGAACCGCTGCTCTGATAGCAACGGAATAACTCATGGGGGCTGGGGTAGGAAGAGACGCCACCAAAGCATCTAAGGAGGACTGCATATAGTTTACCGTCTCACTACAATATGCACGTCCGCGGACAAGTTTGGATTTGACCCCCTCCCTAAAGATGATTTCGATAGGTACGTGATAAGGATCCTAGCATTTCGGGTCTTTTAGAAGCTGTATCTTTTGAGGTCGATATCAGTAAGGGTTAAGGTCTCGCCATCAAGTTCATAAAGGCCGTACAACGACTCTCATCAGTAGGAGTATCGGGATCGAGCTCTGCCCAACGTCGCTTGGAAGGACCATCATATGCCTTCATGGAGACAGAGGAGCGAGAGGAGTATGTTGATCGCGGCAAGGTAACTCGTCTGCTAAACACTATTTGTTGTAAACAGAAAACTGACTACTGCTAGGCAGACTTACTTACTGCCTGTGCTTCGCGGTCTGCCTTTCACTACGAGAAGGAAGCGGGCTATACTCCCGTGGAAGGTTTGGGTGCTTGTGCTTTTAGAAATTGCCAACAACTTCCACTCGTGAATTAATATCTTTCACTCAATGGTTAAAATATCCCTTTATCGGGGTCCGTTCACACAGCACCACCATTTCAAATTTCTGACTAAAGACAGATTGCGTTAGAATCCCTATGGCTAGCGCCACTTTGAGTTCAGCTAGCGCCATTATAGATTTTGCAAAAAAGCCCTTGACTTTCGGGGGGTGCTATGTTAACGCTAGCACCACCATTGCGTCCGATCACTTCCAAAAGCAAGCGCTGTGTTCGTCAGACCTAGCGCCACAAATTTTAGAGCTAGCGCCACCCCTCAATAGTGTGGGGGGCAATTTTTCGTAGCACCACCATTTTGTTTTTTCGGGTAAAATTTTCACGTCTTGTGTTCTGCTGACCTAGCGCCACAAATTTTAGAGCTGCCATCACCCTCCAATAGTGTGGGGGGGGCACCTCCATTTTATCTTTAAGGGTAAAAATTTGATGTTTTCTGTTCTGTAGACCTAGCGCTCAAGTTAACCTAGCGCAATTATAGATTTTGCAAAAAGCCTTTAACTTTTGGGAGTGCTATATTAACGCCAACACCACCATTATGTTCAATGACTACCAAAAGCAAGCGCTGCGCAGTGTTCTTTAAACGTAGCGCCAGCTAGCGCCACAAATTGCAGAGCTGGCGCCCAATCCCCAACATTGTGGGGGGTCCTTTTTTGTATATTACTACCGGTTTGTTTTTTCGTGTACAATTTTGCTATTTTGTGCTTTGCTGACATATCTCCCAGATAGAGTCAAAATCTTAGGAGTTGGCGCCACAGCCAAGTAGTCTGGGACAGTTTTTCC